CTAAAAATTGACTAATTATATTATGCAAATTAGGTAAATAATATGCACATATTTTAACTTAAAACTAATCAGGTATGTGCATTGTTCCAGAGCATCTATGTACCAGATATCAATGAAACAACTAAAAATTGACTAATTATATTATGCAAATTAGGTAAATAATATGCACAGATTTTAACTCAAAACTAATTAGGTATGTGCATTCCAAGTTTTATTGAAAAGTGATGATTAGTTCTTGAGATAATGTTAGAATAGACATACATACATACACATAACAACAAAGGCTCCAATTGTGTGTTTAGAACATCATAAATGGTTGTGTTGCGTTTAGTATTAGGATTTTAGTATTTTATTACAAAAATGGCTATTTAATCAGACCACAAAAACAAGTCGGTACAAAACAAAGTATAACAACTGTCACAATATAAATAGTGTATTAAAAATCCATTTACATTGTTGCTACATGTATTGTATTGCTTTTTTGAGTTTTAATTGAACATACCCAATTGAAACACATGACCATAATTCAATGTTGTTGCTGTGAACGACATGCATGTCATAACAGGATATTAATCATGAAGGGGCACAACATATTGCAATGAGATGTACTGTGCTGATAAATGATAAATTCAGGTAACTTTGAACATGAACACCCAGCATTTTAAGAGTTGGCGATATTCACATTCAATTGCCAACTGACCACTCAAACACCGTCCTGGATATCCACTTATAGAAACACAAAAAATAAAATTTAGACAATACAAATGTGTAACAGCAATAACTTAAATTTGCCAAATTAAAAACATAATTTCAATTTTTACAGATAAATCATGTTTCCCATGGCAGCTCACGCTCCATTTTTTGTCAAAAACAGCAGGGGCGGATCGATCTAGGATTCTGGAATGGGGGAGGGGGGGTGATAAGTTGGCCGAAGGTCAAGTTCGCGAGTGCCGATGGCACAAATCCCTGTTGATTGATAAAAATAGAGGGGCCCCTCATCCCCCTCTAAATCCGCCCATGAACAGTACACGTTCACTACTTTGTTGTATAGCGGGGTCAGAGTGCCAGAGTGGGCGTCAGCAAATATCATGGGTTTATTTATAGTACGTTCAATATATTAAAAAACATCACAGCGTCATGGCTTTATCGATGTCATCATTGTCGGACAATTTTACACATTTTCTGGTCAGACCTGTTGCTAACATTAATTATAATTATTAAATTTCAGGGTTATTGTATTTGATGTCACAGTGATAATGTTGATATCGACCATTGAGTGTTTGTATCTTCTGCTTGAGTTCACTTATTATAATAAATTCCTGTTTTCACCACGTTTTTTGTACCAGTTGAACACTTTCTTATTTAGTCATTTCGGGAAATAAATGGTATACAGGTTGCGTATTGTATCGTTATAAAAAGGTCTAACCGTGTCTGTATTTATCAGGTTATATATAGAGCTTTATCAAAGGAGAACCAGTCGAGAAGTACGTAAAGTTATGATTTGACACCCCTGTTGACACCTTGAGTCAGGTCAACCTCACTATGTATCTCAATAATAGACTGACAGTAGGTGTTAAGTTAAATTTCCTCCAGCCCTTTAACGGCAAATAAAATCCACAATGCAACGAAACATTAGTTCTTTTACTCCAAAACTGACGGTAAAACACAATAAAATTTATGGAAGCCATCCAACTACCTGTGACTTAGCCGAAATCGCTTCGACTTCGCAAAGGGTCACTGTAACACATACAAATCTAAATCATTGCGAGAAGAAAGACTAAAAATGGGTATGACTGACAGCCAAATGCAATGTTTCAATATCTGTCACATTAGTGTTGTCACATGTCACTGGCACTTGAACCCTAAAGAGACCTGAATGTCACAATATTCGATGCAATAGACAATGGATGTTGAATAAAAAGCAGCTTCCATCAACAATAATACAAATCAAATTGCACAAGCATTCAGTTATTTTCCTAATGTATTGTCAATCCTTGTACATGTATATACCATGAGCACCAAAGTCAACTTTTGACACCATTCACAAAATGAAACTCACATCATTTTTTCACTATTTTTAGACTGTAGTCAATAGAAAATTATGTTCATGCGGCCAAAAATTTAAAAAAAAAATTGAAAAATGCATAAAAACAAGCAAAATCACTAATCTGCACGGGAAAATTTTTGAAGATATTCCTCAAAAAAAAACTCAACACCAAAATAATAAATACCGTCATAATAAATATCAACGACAAGATGACTATGTACCAAAGGTAGTACCGCATAATGCCACGGAACAATTGACAAGTTTATATACTGTAAAAGGGTTAATTATTCAATGGGTTTTAATTTTGCTTATTTCGCTGACTGGAAAATGCGCTAAATTAAAACCCAGTGAATATGTCAAATTTAGCATAGAACACATTATCTAAATGATAAAACCGTGAATTAAAAACCCACTGAATATGCCTGAAATGGTAAATCAGCAAAATTTAAACCCAGTGAAAATTAGTCATGATGTGAGCTGATATCAATATAGCATATAACTTATTTTGATTTTTTGTAAAAACAACACTCACTATCCATGAATTAATTAAGGTTAGAATAGACTAACTATAAAATTTCTACAAAATAACGTATTATGAGATTACTCAAACTGTTTGAGTCTACAGAGAATTCAATATAAATTATTGCAAGTTTATCTTTAATAAGAAAATCATTTTTCCACAGAAAAACTGCTGCTTAACTAGTGTCATGTGATATCTGTAGATCATGTTTGTTATTCATATATTTGGTCCCTGGGTAAAAGGTGGTAATTCAATTTAGAAAAATTCACATCACATGTGATCGTTTGATGACATTTTGATCAGATATGTTGAGACCCACCTTATATAATATATTTTGAAGATTTTTGACACAGAAACCTTCTCTTTTTCTGTTTTTTTTTAAATATGTTGTTGAAAAGTTATTATTCTATTTTGAGAATAAAAAAGATGTAAACTGTGTTACTCATTAATTCACTCTTATACTTTCATACTCAAGATTTTCAAATTATAATTGCGACCACAGTAAGATAACTCATAAGAACCATTTACAATAGTTCAATTGCTTTTAATGATTGGTCAGGAAAGGACGAAGGGGGTAAGTAGGTATCACAGTCTAGAGAGACTGATGACTAATGTAAGGATGGAATCACATTTACAAAACATGATTTATGTTACAAATCCCCAAAGTCAAAATGCATTAATAAAGATAAGAAATACCTAAATATATCTCGTATGTCCATGATGTCGTCCTGCCTTCTGCAAATGTTTCTAATTTGTACTGGAAATCAACAAAAAATAATATATATATGAAACATCATACAATGTATATGAAATGAAAAACGATTAGATTATAATCGTTTGAATACCATATTATTTTCTATATTGTTGTTGTATTTCCTTGTTAATATTTGACCAGTTGTACCTAATTCCAAGTTGCTAGTAATGGTAAGTGTAAAAGTTTGCGATGGTGTACAAAAGGTTAATCTGTTCACCACTAGTTCTCTCTTTTCATCACAAGTTGACAAATAGTCCGGTTATAGTCTGACTTTCCTTCAAAAGATTAGAACAAAAATAGCCAATTTATTTGACCAAGAACTGAAAATTGACTCAAATTTTGTCTGTTGGCTCCAAAATTAGGGTTTATTTCCAAAAATATTGAAGAAATATAAGAAAAATTAGGGCAAGAAAGTCTAGTGGTGAAAAAGTTAATGTTATGAAAAAGGTGAGACATTAACAGAACTATTGCAACTGTTCATGATTACATGTAGGCCTAGAATGAACATATTCCTGTTTCTGGTCATAAATGTGTGAGATCCTACATAATGCGTAAAATCGAACGTGAAAACAGGACAAACAAAGGTCATAGTGGCATCAAAACATCACGTGGGTTCCGAAAAACACAATAACTAAATTTTGAATGTTTCCAATGATCAATTTTTATGTAGTAAGGGTGCCTTAAGACCATGTTCCTCTCTAAAAAATTACATCTTGTTTAAAATCAAATCATTTGATTTTTGCGTTTTTACGCACTGCACAAGATCTCACAATGAACACAAAATCACCTTTTGTGTTAGTTTGACGACATATTCATTGTACATTACCCAAGATATGAAACTTTATGTAATACATGTATTTATCCACTCTGTGTTTACCATACTTACATAAAGTGAATGACTTTCCTGTATTGTCATGATGTGCATATTTTTCGCTGCTGCTTTACCATAGCAACACTGCTGGGATACATAGTTCAACAATAAATCTCTGGCTTCAGTCTCACTGACTCCAGTAACCCTAGCAACAGATATGACAACTTCTACGTAAGCAAGTACATAATTTCCACAGTTTTTATGAAGAGTGATGACAGGTTGCATTTGATTGGCTGACATCAAATGTATAAGCCAATTAGAATTGCTTTTACTTTTAGGCTTTTCTTCACACAACTCTTCAAATCGTATAATGTTCCCCGTCAAATTTTGGTTCAACATTTTGTAAATGTTAATAGGAATTTTTTCAAGATCAAAATTAAAATAAATTTAGGTTCATTGTGGAAAGTTACAATAATAGATTATGGTGTCCATAATAAATGTGATAATTCCAAGGTGAGTTGGCTGTGAGTAAATAATACCACCAAATTAGATATATTTAAATTATGAAATGTTCTCAGTATTTTCAGATTTCAAATTTCAGTTACCAATTCCACACCATACTCAGAATTAGAGATTTTGAAGTAGTTCTAAGAACTGCATCATTGTAATTCAAACCTTCGTTAATAATAGGATTTTAACTTTAAAAACAATAGAGCTGTCGCCATAGAGGGCATACTTTTATTCAATTGAAATAACAAAAAGGGTTCATATCTAAGATTCTGCTGTCATTTACAGCTGAGAATAGTAATCCCTTTTACCAGAAACTATCAAACGAACAAATGTTCAGCGGTAAACATTTTAATGAAGTTAATGAAAAGCAAAATCTGACATTGTAATTCATCTGCATACATCTGCCAGCAAACACAACAGAGTGAAACCATCCCTAATGTAATGTTAGAGAAGTCTTCCTTAAACATTTGTTACTCTTTACATCAAATGCATTGACAATGTAGCGAGTAACAAAAATAGTTCTGTCAATAAAGACAAAATCACAGGTAAGCATAAACTGCTTCTCGCCTGAAGTTACATATCACTAAATTATTTCTACTAGCCGGTGAAAATGTTTAAAATAAAATTGAACTTCCACTCAGTGAAAGATATTTTACGATATTCTTATGATAAAGTTCTTTTGTGTAACGGTACTCACTCTACAAATTCGTGATCCTGTTCTTGGTGGATGCCGTCGTGGTCATCAGGAGGCGGTACAATAGAGGGTCCTGTTAAAACAAACATTTATAATATATAACTGAATCTAAAGAGACTATATATGGAGACCATCTGCATAAATCTCCCATATATGGAATACATTTGCATAAATCTCCCATATATGGAATACATTTGCATAAATCTCCATATATGGAATACATTTGCATAAATGTCCCACAATGCACTGCACAATTATTGATAACTATGAATCAATTGAACAATGACTATTACCAATACATTATAAGTGAGCACAGAAATGTATGTACTTAAATAAAAGTTAATAAATCA